TCTAATCGATTTATATTTTTTTCGCCACATCGAGTCCGCCAGCTGGATGGAAAGGGATATTAACTGAGTAAATTGGCGGTCAATTCTGAACAGATTGAAATGTATCTTGTGCTAGTTAATAGTGATAGGATTCCTTATTAATCATTTGCAATACTATCCCAATAACTGCCGTTTAAAGCCTGTCTGTGCAATGTCGGGACCAAAGCATTTTTAATATTTGTACATACATATGACTGCATCTTTTCTGTGTCGGTTTAGGTGCTCTCGGCACAAGCAACCAAGAATAAACTGCCTTCTAGTTTTGTAAATAGTTTTCGGCAGACAATTGAAGGCATCTCGTAGGCCGTCCGAAGTGCAATGTTCCGACAGGTTTACAACTTATTTCACTGCATCTTGTCACCGAGGTTTCTTAGCCCTTGGTTCACAATGCACCAGAATTTTATTTTTCATTTTTAATTCAGAAAAGAATTTGGTGAATTTGTAGAGACAATAGATATTGCTGCTGGACAGTAAGTGCATAACTAACTAGAGCGAAGCCTTTGCCAAAAAAAACGCATTTTTTCCATTTATGATTAAGCTTTCTATCGTAGCAGATTTAGAATTTTTTCCAGAAAATAATGATATTCGTTCAATTTTATCTGGTGCTCCAGCAAAAACTAATCAAAATAGCCATTTTTTATGACAAATCTGTATGTCTGTAGGTCCAGAATTGAAATCAGAAAATTTTTCGTATACTTATTAATTAATTGTTCTAGTGTAGATTATTGTCAATAAGTCAGAAAAATATCAGACAGCTCCGTAGTCCCATTTCTAAGAAGTGAAATTCTTGTCTTGTGCTGTCTAGTAATTCACTACCTACTTGTTATCTTTAATGACTCTTATAGCCAATTGCCAACTGCTGCAGATGGGTTAAGCTCAATCCAATAAGGTCTACTTATGTATTTGATTTAACTTTGGAGATATAACTTCGAAGATGCATAACAGAAGAATTCAGTTTTTATACCAAAATAAAATAAATACTACGTAGGGAGATAACTACTGTTACAACTCTGAACGCACCCATTCCAATAGAAAATTTGAATATACCACGCTAATGCTCATAGCTTATGAACTAGGTATAACCTATAAAGCAATAGTCTGAATCAGGAAATCAAAATTGATTCAGTTTTCACCATGGAGTGGCCAAATAGTCAGAACCGTATCGATGTTACAGCGCTATTAAAGTGTAAAACTAAAAAATCGACATTTTCAAAACTCTCCGCGCGTTCGGGACTAGGCGCATGTTAGTCTACCGGTGCTTAAAACTTTTTGAGGAGGCTGGAGACGTCAAAAACCACCACCAGTCGATATAAATCCGCTCCAAAAAGAGGAAATCATGGTCCGAGAAACGAATTTTGTTTACCGATAAACCAATTTTTACCGTTTACAACGTGAAATGTTTTAGATTTCATTTAGAAGGCAATTTCATTTCATTTCATTTTTATTTCAGACTACCAAATACCCGGCTTGCTTCATTGCGCCTTAAAAGTATTTTTGTGTTGTTTGATATCCGTATTGTAATATTTAATTTATTTTACCAATTTAATTAAATAAAATTTCCTCGAAAATATTTTCGGCAGTCAACTTTTCTAAACCTCTTCAGTTTGAGTATTTACTTTATCTTATCAATTTACCTTAACTGCAATTTCCAACCAGGTGGCAACTCTCTATTTTTTCTATCCATATTTTAAGTTAGACCTCTAGAAATATATCGGTGAAAGCTTAATCAATTTCATGCATTAGTTTTCGAGTGATGCGCATACACACATACAGACAGGCAGACAGATGCCAAAATTCTAAAAAATGTTGATTTGGTTTTTATTGGTCTAATGAAGACACCCATATTAACTTTCTTTAATGCCTATAACGTGCAGATATCGGTCTTTTACAATTTTTTATATGTATAGATATTTTATAATTAAATAGTACAATAATGCATTGGAGCATTGCTAAAATTACATAAAAAAAACATAAAACGCAGTGGTGACTGTAATTTGGGTTACCGTTTTACAAAGGGTTACTGTCACTAATAGGTTACTCCAGGCAATTGGTTCATTAGTGAAAGAATCGCAACTATCAAGGCCACTAAATAATTTCATTAAATGATTTCGCAACCAATTATCAGCGGTCGAAAGAAAAGCAATTGGGATGATTACACTTTAGTTTAAAAATCAGAAGTATAAAAGTAGATTGCGAAAACGAAAATATAATCGCGTGAAAAAATTATTTTCGATTACTTCCATGTAATTTGTGACAATATGATAAAGATGTTCCTAGAGAGAAATTCTATAGTGATAATAGTAATAATATTTAGACACTTACACTTTTGCTAAGTGTTTGGCCTAGCTTCTCGTTCGATTTGTGGCATGTGCCTTGATATTTTCACCCAAAGCAGAGGGACTTACAGTTTTACGCCGACTCCGAACGGCGATTGTATTTTTATGAGAAGCTGTTTGTTTGTTAATTTAAGTGCTACCGGACCTGGGTTCAAACCCACGTCCTACGAACCTCTAACTATTCAGTTACATTGGCCTATGGTTATATTCTAGAAAATGTTAAAGGTTTATAAATCAGTGCATCAACTTCGATATTATCAGCTCTTCCTATAACAACGGCCATGCAATTTTCTGTTATATTTCTTTAGGCATCTAATCAACTGCTTCTGTTATAAGGTAAAATTTTGCTTAGAAAACCTTAAAAGGTTTATGACTATATATTCCTACCCACTTAACTTCGATTCATCTGCAAAACAGCCCTCTGGGTCTATTCCTACTTTTAAGAAAAATAAGTAATGAAGGAAACCATGCTTTTCGATATTTGGCTTTTAGGATAGCTACATCGCTCCGCAATCAATCAAGTTAAGGTATAACTGCATAAGTATTTATACACGGGATGACCAAGAAATTTTCTCTAACAGTAAGGTATGGTCCACATTAGAGCGATATGATATGCGATACGATACGCGCTACGATACGAAAGCGACAGCGACATGCTGACTACGTGGGAGTTGATAGCAAGCGATAGAAACTGTGCACACTTGCACGACAGCGACATAATATCGCATGCGTATCGCACGTGCGACACGGTTTGCTATCACACCGCCTATGGTATCGCATGTGCGCCGTGCCTAAGAGATAGCTCGTCGATGTAACTAATCAACCGACAGATGCTTTTCTCCGTCGCTAGCAGGTCATTGATAAATGTGATAAGTTTGCACGTTCAGATAATCTAGGAAGTTTGCGAGTACCTCAGAGAGGATATTATTGAAAGCCCCCCGTGTATAAAGGAAAACCTTAATCGTGTAATCCTTCTATGAAAATTACTGCTAAATGCTCTCTGCAATCGAGCGTAGACCTGATTTTACCGATCTGCCCTTGTAGAGGTAAGCTGGTTTATAAGTCTCTGCAGTTCTCAACAATTAATTTTTTTTTTTTTAGATTTATGTCTGATACACTATAGGATTTGGCTGACTTGGGCATGAAAATTACTCTGATCATGGTTTTTTAATCAATTTCCCCTATTTATTTCTTCTGAGTACACTTTGTTTTTTCATAAATAATTTTTAGTTTCATTTGTCATTTTATTGAACCAAATACTTTTCTTTTCCTCTTTGTTTACACTTCAAGTGGTCTGAGCATATGCAATCGCAACCTTTTGATCAACAGGTTAGATTTACATCATTTTCACTATGAACCAAAGAGCAAACGAATTTGCTTTGAACTACATAAACTGCATTGCATTCGATTTGTTGCAAATTACATCATCTTTCAAAAAAAAAATTTAAACAATTTTTGCGAAATCTCTGCCTGTGGCACTCAAATTGAATTATTTGTAAATACATATCTTCGATTTATGAAATCCGCAAATTTATGTACGTATTTGTGAATGTATATGTGTAACAATTCAGTCAACTATGACTGTTTTGTGCTCAATTAACCGCAAATGGCATATGATCCACTGTACACGCCCAACAAATATGCTAGCCAGAAGGCCCACCTGTTCGAGTTCGAGTTCGTGTCTTAAGTCTTTTGTTCTAGCAACGCAAAGAACGAGAGCTTGCTAGTAAAGTGGAATACATACATACATATAACATTTTCCATTAAAATTCCCATTCTCATCGCTGTTTAAACAAGAATTTAATAACTTTTTTGAGCATGTACAATGCAAAGTAAACGGAAGCGCGGCATGGCAACTCAATCAATACATCAATCGATTGGCGAGATCACGTGGCAAACGAAAGAACTATGAATGCCAGAGTAGGTAGTTAGAACTTCTGGGAGTAAGTGAGTGCTGAAGAAATTCGCTATTTACTAGTATAAGCGCATTAGTAATGCTGAAAAGCCGCAACGCTGAATAGCCACGCCAATGGCATTTGCAAAAGTGTGACGTTTGGTTCCAGCACTGGTCGCCGCTTACTTAGTGCATAAGCTGGAAAATACTAAGAAAACTAATATGTATGTACAACAAGCGGTCAGCCAACAGGCGTAGCACTCAGCGGTAATAATAGCAACAAAAATTTGTAAGCGTTTTAAGTTTACGCGTTACATTTTTGTGTTTTGCTATTTACTTCTGTTTCTTTTACTTTGATTTTATGCTCAAGTCAACTTATTGGAGCACCTAGAGCACACTAGGGTTGCTTTTACTATTGATTTTCTTATTACCACTTTGCTTGTTATTGTCCGCTAGCTGCTATTTAATACATACAAACAAAGATGTATATTTGTAATATTTTTGTTTATTGGCGTTCCAGCACCCATACACCAACGTTTGCATTGCCCACCGCCAGCCAGCTACCACTGCCACTGCTGTGCAAAAACATTTCCACACGCACACATTGACACATATGTATGTATGTAGCTATATGCAAACATATTTACGTACTGACTTATCAGCCAATTAGCAATAAAAGCAACAATAACAACAACTCACTCCAATCTGATTGACTTTATTCAACTTCGCCAAGGTTCTGTATTGGTATGTATGTTCGGTGTTGGTGCTGTGGCGTTGTGGCATGCAGTGGCGCGGTTTTGGGCGGCTATAAAAACTGCTGGCCATGTCATGGTGGGAAGCAGTTTGTTTAAGAAGTTTGTCGCTGTCGGTTTAACAAAACCCCAATCCTCATCACATTCAAAACCAACTCCAAAAAACCGCTCACGGTTCGGTACTGACGTGTGTGCGTTCACCCTTTTTAACGGACAATCGTATAGGCTACGCGAAATTTTTCAACAATCATTCGTATTTTGGATTAAAGCAAGACTTGCAGCAGCAGTTTACATTGTCGCTTATTAAGGATACAAATTTGAGAATTCCACAACGTGAAAATGTTTCGTTTTGTAAGTTAAAAAATTTAAATAAATTTTGAGAGAATTTGTGAAAAAGTGTTTGAAAACGTTTGTGTAAATGAGAAATACTTAAAAGAACAATTACAAAATGTTCAAGCTTTGCAGCTTGTTGTGTTATTTGAAGCAAATGTGTGATCTTAATATTCGAAAAAAGATAAAGCAAGATTTTAAAATCAAGAACATAAATTCTTATTTATTTAGTTTATAAGAAACTTACTGTCACGGTTTACTTTAGGTGAAATATGATCAATAGTTAAAACTCCCGCAACAGGCACCTTAAGCAAACAAATCACAAAGCTAGTGAACGTAAAGTGTTAAATATTAGAAAACTGAACGTTGATATAAAATATTTAAATATTTTTACTGAAAAAAGTTATTCCGAAGCAAGATTTTTGAAAATTTGATAACCGAAATTTGAGTTTTTGAATTGAATACTGGTGGCTTAAACATTAAACTATTTAAAAAACAACTGCCTTTATGTACATAAATTTGCTTTAATTATTATTACAATTTCTTGTTAATTTTGATAAATTTTAATTTAAAAGTGCAAGAGGTGTTGCTACGTTTTTGGCGCAGAAAATTAAAAAAAAAATCAAAAAATAATATTACCTACATTCATATCTATTTAAATTAACAGGATTTAAAATACAGTTTTTGTTAGTTTATTTTAATTAATAAAATTTTATATTTTTTCATGCGAAATACGCGAATGCGAATTCTTTTTTTGACCACCAAAGGCCGTTAACTTATCTATTTAAAAGTACAGTTAAATTTAATTACAGAAAATCCCATACCTAACTGTTTCCTTTTCAAAGTTGAATTTTTCGAGGATAACACAGTGCAATACTCAAAAAGTGTGATGGGAATGAGAGCAATTGCATTCATTAAAAGAGGTCGAAAGATGAATAAATACCAAAGAATTTGTAAAAGTTGGTTCCCATTTCCATTTTATATCGATTTGAAGTTGTGAATTTAAGGTCCATAAACAAACAAGTACAATGATATATGCACATATATGTATATAATACAAACTCTTCAGTTGGATATTGAGCTCTGCCAAAAACTCCTCAAATTCGCTCTCCTTCTAGCTCCGTTAACTTTGGAAAATGTATTTTTAAATTATAATTAAATGTATTTTAAATTATATTATGGCATAAAAACGAAATGGCAACCAACTTTTTCAAATCCTTTGGTACTTTTTCATTAAATATTTGACCAGCTTAATCGAATGCTGTTGGTCTGATTAACATCACCTCTAACTTCCACGATGATCGAAAAATTGTAATTCACGATTAAAAATATTAAAAAAAAAAGAAATTTTGAATGAGGCTTATTTTTAATGGAAAAAGTAAAACTCATAAAATATCGATATTGCAATGATCTAAAAATAAAATCTCAATAAAAATCTCTATATGCGAGTATTTTAATTTAACATTTAATTCCTATAACTGGATTTTCTGAACTGCTGCATTTTTTGCTTATGTCACATAGACAGTAAATAGTTTTTCATAAGACAAATAAAAGGCAGGTGGCAAGATAGTTCGAAAAACTTTTGTTATTCTAACACAAAAGACTTAGAAAAACAGCTCTCTCATTCACCACTCGTGGTGAAAATTTATTTTGAGAGAAAGCACTGGTATATAATTTAGCTCGCGTCGCGCCCATAGTTGCAATATACGAGTAAGCAGAGCACTTGGCATACCATTCGAGAGATCCGGGTTGGAATCCTGGTGCATCGGCTTTTTTTTATTTAAATTTTTATCTTTTTTAATATAATATAAATTTTTTCTTTTTCAAGTAAATTTTCTTTTAAGATTCTGTTGTTTTAAAAAAGAAGATATATTTTTCTTAATTTCATTTCATTTTTAACTCTGACTTTATGTTTTTTTTTCATTTTTAATTTATTATTTTTTCTCTCTTAATTAATTTTTTTATTTGTTGTTTTTTTAGATGTTACTCTAAAAGAAAAAGGTGTTTTGTTCCTTTTCTCTTTGTTTTAAATTGAACTAAATTTTCTTTTGCTGATTTCATTTCCTTTTATTTTTTAATTGTTCTGTCTTAATTAAAAAAAAATATATTTTTATTTCACTTAGGATCTTATTTTATTTTATTTTTTTTTAATTAAGTTGTTTTTTAGATTGTATATATATAAAAAGAAATATATATATTTTTTAATTTAATTTTTAAAAATATGTTTATTTATTTTATTTCATTTTATTATTTTTCCTTTTTTATTTAATTTTCCTTTATTTATTAGTTTTCATTGCTTAAAAAGAAAAACAGATATATTTCTTTAATTTTATTTTATTTTTAAATTTTACTTTAAGAACAATCTTAGCAAATTTACAAAAAAAAAAATTACTAGCATCAATGTGTGTACATAAAAATAAATATAACGACAATAGTCTAATATCGATAATTACTTCAATATCGCTTAAAAACCCCGATGCCAACGGCTTCGATATGGATAAAGAAAAAATCGAGGTCACAATTATTATTTTTTCATTGAAAACTTCTACTAATGTTACTATGTATAGTTTTACCAGCATCAGTATCTGCTTCGATTTGCAAGCGTTTTCCAGTCAGAAGTATTTACTAATACTGGAGGCTGTCGCATTTTAAATCATAGTAGTTCATGCCACCTTCATGGTGAGAAGGTCACCATGTTCTCGGATGGTCGAGAAGCCATGGTAGCTCAGGTGGCTTGAACAGCAAAGTCGAAGCTGATGAGTGTAGAACTCTTCTGAATATAGTTAGTAGTCATTCAGAAGTACATTTATATATGTATGTATAATATGGCGTCTATGTATTAAAGCACCTCCCGTGGGTCCGCCTCTGACTAACACGTAGTTTAACCTCCAAAACCATCCATTGCAATTTAAGAGATCCCTACATTTCCTCATCAGACTTTTTCATCGAGTTCACTGAAAATCCACATTACTGTTTTCATTACAACGACTGCAATGTATGTTTTCCAAAGTAGTTTATTTATATTAAGACGAAAGGTAAATATTTGCTAACTTGCGGTCAGCTCCATAATTCCCCATTCGTAAAGGGATCTGTATTTATAGGCGAAAAACTGAAAAATTTACTGCTTTATCGCGTTATCTAAATAAAAAGTTATCCCACGCAAGTAATTTTGAAGAGAGCGAGACAAGTTAAAGTTTTATGGCACAAAGCCAGGTGTGCATGTTGGGTGTGGCAACACTTCCTTCAATCATTTTTGACGGTTAGCGAAAGACGCGTGTGGTCTCACTTTGTCTTGATAGGAAAGACGTCTCTTACGATTGACAAGCTTCGAGAGTTTTTGGGCGGCAGATTCGTTCAAATTATTCAATCATCGTGGGTATTCACGCGAAGTGAGTGCGCAGTTCGTTTGTAGAAGCTCAAAAAGCACCAAACAATTTCAATCTCACCTCAATTTATTTTTTCATGTACTTTCTTGATCTAGTTTTGGCACTTACATTCATTTAGATCATCCCCAACGTGAGCTATTTTAAAGCTTTACTCATTAAATGATAGTTTTAACGGCCAATATATCAAGCATGAAAATTTGAGAGAAAAGAGCTGTAAATGAAATAAATTAAATAATTTTTAAAGAGGACATTATACTGGCCATTTTCGCTGGAAAAGCCATAGGCCAACACGTCTGAGTTTTTTTTAATTTTCATTTTTTTATTTGAACTCAAAGCTTAAGAAATAATATGAATCTCTGTTCCAAAAGCACAAAATCTCAAAAATATATATGGAAAGCCAGCTTCTCATAAAATCTATTTGCCGTTCGGAGGCGACTCAAAACTGTACTCCTCCGATTTGTGGCGTACGTCTTGATGTTGTCACACGAAGGGTAGGCACCTACAGTTTTACGCCGACTCCGAGCGGTGGTTGTATTTTAATGAGAAGTTGTTCTTCATGATACAAAATCCAGTCGGAGGTTTGGCACTGCCTGCCGAGAGGTGACCGCTAATAGAAAAAACTTTTTTTTTTTTTTTTGATGTTGGGTTGAACCGGGCTTAAACCCAAGCCCTACGGAATGTTAGCGTGAACTAGCCATTACACCACAACCACCGATTTCAATTTGCGAAAGTTCAGAAGACTTCAACCATTTTCTTTACATCTTTTCTTTGCAGACCATTTTAACCACTTTAATTGCCATTGCCGCGAGTCAGGGTTACCACCAAAATCCCAAAACAGCGGCTATTATTAGTGAACAGCGTTACCTTGCCGGTGATGGTAAATTTGGTGCAGCCTACACACAGGAGGATGGCATCAACTTCAAAGAAGAAACCGATTCGGATGGTACACGTCACGGCAGCTACAGTTATGTAGATCCTACTGGCGAGAGGCGGACAATTTCTTACACAGCCGGCAAAAATGGGTAAGCGCAAATTTAATTCGCGACTATTGATAGCATTTTTTCGCAGTTTAGGGTTACAAATTTCATTCTTTTTACGAAAAAATCGCTCACTTAATTTCATCACAGGTCTCTAAATACAGAAGCTTTGTTCGAAATCAATTTTTACATGTTATATAATTGAAATTTTGACCAGCAGTAGAAATTTTATCCGCCCTTAGAAAAAATATCCTCCTGGGATTTCACAATCTGTACATACATGTCTACACATTAGGGTGATCCAAAATAACTAACCGAACCAATTTATGGCTTTAAAATAAATTAAGTACTGAGAAGAAAATTGTGCCATTTGGAAAAACTTTGTATTCCAATGTTAATATTTCAAAACTTTGTCCGCCATATTTGATCCAACATATTGGATTTAAAAAAATGCAGCTCATTGTTTACAAGTTAACATTTCTGCCGATGATTACAGATTTTAAGCTTAACGTAATGGAAAGCATATAAAGGGGTTAACATGATCCGATTGTAGATGTTTAAAATTCAACGTTAAGCTGAGAGAGAAACAGAGTTGCTCTTATAGTCCTACAGAGATTCCCGCTTATGGTGCGAGTTTACCCGATTCCGTCAAGTATGGATGCAATTTAATTACTAAATTGGCATTAATTCTGATCTTGGCATACACGTTATGTACTTTTAAAATAAAATTAACATTTAAGACACATCTTAATAGACATCGCAAAACACGCTGAGTATTAGCCATGCATTTGAATATAAATACTCGCATTACCTTCAGTCATACATGGTCCTATTATGGAGCTAAATAAAGACCCTAAAATGTTTCAACAGTGCGTTTCTCTAAACGTCTCTCCACGTGTATTTCAATGGATAAGATAAGTAGCCAAGAAAGTTAATTCCATGTTGCGGCAGTCAATGAATTACAACATTTATCCAAAATAGAGCATTAATTTCTCTGCAATTTTATATTAATCAGAGCTTAAAGTAGACCATCCATGAGATAATCCAACAACAAAACTAACTCTTGCAAGCACACGTTTAGTTACTTTTACTATGCTTGAATGCGAGTGAGTATCTATGTGGTGTCGTAATCTATTTTCATTTGGTGGCCAATTAAATCTGTGGCCAGTTAGTTAAATCTTGTGCAAAAATTCGCGCAGTGTTGGCAATTAAAGACGGTGAATTATTATGAACACTGCATGTCCAAAACGAAAACCAGCATGGACCGGACAGACAGAAAAATATTTCAAAACAAAAAACGGCACCAATAAAATATTGTTATCGCTGAAGTGAACTGAAGCGAAGTAAAGTGAAGTGTAACCGAAATTGTATATATAGATATCTTTGTAGGCTAAGCTGTTGGTGCATTCAGCTGTGACTATTGAGCCAATTGTTTAACAAACGTAAACACAAATGTACAAACAATTACAAGTGTATCAAACTGGCGGCAAAGTTAATACCTTTATTTGCATATGAATGCCTAGTGTGAGAGCATTTTTTTCTGTCTGAAAATAATTGAGGATAATTGGACGAGCCATAAATATAAGTATAAACGTGTTACCAAGTTAGCGTTAAGAATAATTCGTATAATTTTTAATTGTATTTAATTATAACCCATTTATTACCATTGCCTTTTATGCATTCTAAACGCCATTTTCATCTGTTCTCTCTCCCCACTCGCCCATTCTATCTTTGCAGCTTCCAAGCCAGCGGTGATCATTTGCCTGTCGCCCCACCAGCGCCACCACAACCTGTGCCACAGGCGGGCTATGCACCACAGCCGCAATACCAACCACCACAGCCACAATCTGGTGGCTACCGCAGCAATGACTACGATGATGGTTCTTACGATCCACGTTACAATGATCCCAGTTTCGATCAATCGCAGGGTTCATATCAGCCACCACAACCACAATATCAACCACAGGCGGCGCCAGCTTACCAGCCACCAGCGCCAGCATATAACCCACCTGCGCCACAATACAACAACTATCAGCCACAGGCTCAGCCACAACAACAACCCTACTATCAGCCGACCACACCCAATCCACACCGATTTGCACCACCCGGTAAATTGTCACTCAATCGCACACCGGACGGTTTCAGCTACAGCTTCAACAAGGTCTAAGAGTTTATGTATATGTACACATGTATGTATGTACATAAGTGTGGAGGGTCGAAGAATGGGTGGTCAAGGCGGGGGAAAGCTATTAAATTGGGTGTGAGCGATAATACTGTCTGAACTACGTGATGTGCTATGCGCGAAGGGAAGGTATGGCAAAGTCGAAGGAGTTTTGCACCGCTCCGCATAGTCTGCATTTCTGTTTTCTCTAACAACTAGCTATTTTTCATACATTTTTCCACTATTTGTTTTATTATTTCCTTCTTGTATGATTTTTGTTTGAATTTTATTTTAATTTACATTACAAAGTTTCATTTAGTTCAGGATCGCGATCAGTTTTTAGTTATTTTCAATTTAATTTTTCAGTTCGTTTGGTTTCCTATTAATTACATTTTACTTCTCATACATACAAACATACGTGCATATACTTCAATTTCACGTGCTTTTGTTTCCTTTGCATGAACGTTCACTTTGTGATATCTAAAAAAAAGTAATGGCATAAAATTGTTGCAACAATTCCGTCAGGTTACTTTTATGTGTAATTTATTTGTGCTTCCTTTTAATTTGTGTATAATTTAATTTTTTTTTTGCAAATGTGTCAAGATTAAATAAAAAAATATTTTTTGTGAATATTAAAAAAAGAAATTACTTGTCTTTCTGATATATAATCGTATACGGCGTTACGTACTATCCCGTACGCGTATTGTTCGCCAGGATATAGTTCAATAATTTTTCAAATTTCTAATTATGTCGAGTTTCCATCAAAAAGCGACAACAGTTACAAACAAATTTTTAACATTTGAATGATGAAAAGATGTTAACCAACTATTATTTTTGTCGAAATAGCGCTAGTATTTTTAGCCTCATTAAAATTTTAGTAATATAATGTCTAGTGGAAATGCGGCATTAAGTTGCCTGGAAAATACCTTCAGTCTTTTATTTTAAACTTTTTATATGACGTTTAAAAAAGAACTTGTTCAGATATGGATTAGGAGTTGACTCTTCAATGCTACTCCTATAATTTTATTTAAAAAGTCATTAACCCTGGAACAACAGTGCTAACTTGACCCATTTTACGGGTTCGTAAGTGGAAGTAAGCATCTGAGTATTATAGGATGTTATTAATGATTCGACTTGGTTTGATGAATGCCGGACGGGAAATAGGACATGCAACGCACATTCTTCTAATCCAGGGTGTATCGAGGGCGGTTAAAGGAGCTCCTTATGCTTGCAAAGCCACAGCTCTTACATTGGGCGGATTTGACAAGTCACTGTCCTGTAAAACTAAAAATTACATCTGATCTTACATACTACAGGCAAGATGATGAGGTGGAGTCGCCTCAATTGTTTCTACCAGACGTTAAGTTTTCGGGAAGCTAATAGCTCATTTCCACCAAAAGCTCTGCTTTGTGTCGGCGTTAGCGTTGCCGACGGCCGCATTTGAATTCATGTATTCATAGTCAGCTGTTGAAACTTACATGTATTTTGTTTTCGCTTTCGGTACACAACTGTCAAAATTTCAGCTATTATTTGCTCAAGGAAATACATGGAAAGGAAATTTCAACACTCTCACTTTCTCACTCACTTCTAAGAAATTTTGACATATGTGTATCGAGGCGAATCAAATCAGCTGTTCTAGCAACACCACCTTATATAAATTTGCCTTGGCCATACTGGAATGGTTATGCAAATTTACACAAAGAAATCTCGAATGAAAAAATAATACAAAATGTGGGAGTACTGAAAATATTTATATTTAATATATAATATAATTTATATTAAATGCGTATATATTGAAAGTGTCCACAAAATTTATTGAATAAAATTCTCATGGCTTTCATTAAAGTGTGAAAGAAGTTTTAAATTGCGTAACTTCGAGGGAAAATGTCAACAAATCTCCTGCATACTTCGCACAGGCTGCCAAAAATAAAAAAATAAAAAATTATAAATTAAGGATGGAGAAACTTCAGTTTCCTATCGACACATGATTTAAGGTGTCATCGTCATTAAATTTTATATCATATTGCTTCAATGGCGCTATGATTTATTACCGCTTCAAAGTTAGGTTTTTATTAGCGAGCAGTATCCCAAGGAAACGAATATAAGTGTAAAGTTTAGCTTGCACTATTATGCAAATAAGTGCTAGGATTCCTCCCACTACAGTTTTGAATTTTTCAGCCACAAAGTCGCTATAATTTCTTAACACACTATTCCATATACTATATAGTGGCTCAAACAAGTGACCATTTTTTAAATATTCACAATGTTTTTCGAGTTGATTTTTTTTTGTTATTTTTCTATATAAAAAAAGCCCAAGCTTTAACCAAACCACATACATAAAACATTGAAGACTTTGCGAACAATTATTTAGTTTGCGATCGATTTTAATTGCTCCTTTACACAATTTTTCTTTAAGCAATAACACAAAGCAACTAAACTAATTTGATTTTGTAACTCAAAATATTTATTTCTACGCTTACAATATGTATCAGTAACCTTCAACTACTCGTACAAATTGTTTTTTTTTTTCATTTCAAAGCTTGCTCTAATTAGTTCAAAAATAATTAACTAAGTATATTGAACAATTACAATAGCATTACATACGAGCTGAGCGCTCAAATTACAACAGCTGCCAGTAGTAATTATTGCAGAGATACCTAAACGCCGTTAAGGTCATATTTGCATGACGAAATTGAATAAAATTTGATTATACTTGTAATCTATATAAATTTATATAAGTATGTAAGTGGTATATGTATGTACATACTTCAACGAAATCTAAGCTTGAAATGTTCACACCCACACAAATTCAATTACATATGTATGAATAGTTATGTACCACATCAGACCGCAAGAAGTTGCTCATAGCTGGGCACAGCTGCGGTGTTGGCAAAATTTTTATTTACAATAAGCCAACTAAAATTACAACTTCAAGTATGTAAGTCACCTCTTAGTGTTTGTATGCAAGTATAGGGGGATAATGTTGTATATGTACATACTTATGTATGTGTTATATGTTTACTACTCTGCGTGGGTTGAGCCGGAAAACTCGCCAGCTTGTAGCTATCATGACATTTTGCGCAACTCAAATTTTTCACACAACATTTAGCCAATGCAGTGACTCACACAAACATTCGGTAGGTGTTTTCTTTTGCAAAATTTTTTCTTGTTCTGATATAAAAACAGACATTATAACATTTATAACAGAAATGCTTTACACGAAGGGTTCAGGCATTGTAAACATGCGAGAAAAATTTAAAAGATTTTCATCGAAATTTCCGACTTTTCTTTCTTGAGAAAATTGTTGGGTATGTTGTTTTTCACAGCCAGTGAAATTTTATATTATTGAAAGTTTGAATACGATTTGATACATAATATATATATTTTTTTTTAACTGCAAAAAGTTTTTTCCATACACCAAATGCACTTTATAAAATATTTTGATAATTTGTTTTGTACGTTTTTTTCTGTGAACGGTCTCGCCTATTTTTTAAATTAAATATGCATTCATGATTATATGGAAAACAAATGCTACAGATTGCCCGTAACAAATACATTATGAGATTATTAAAAAAAAAAAAATCTCATTCAAAAGTTGGAAAATTCGATGAAAACTTTCGCATGAAATTTTTACTTGAAAACAAGGGTTAATACTTAAAGAGCTTGTGATTATTTTTTTGTTTTCTTTTTCACTGCTTTTGCGGCTTATTGCGTACGGTCTTCGGCAATTTATTTAATAAAAAAAACAGCAAGCAAAAATTAAAAAAAAATCTACGATATTTTTTAGCCACTTGAAACTCAAAAATAATTAACTAAATTATTATTATATGTTTTTGATTAAGCCTTGGGCAATATTTTTATAGAAAACTAACAGAAAAAATTAACCTGGAAAACATTATGAATATTAAAAAAAAAATCAACGTTTTGAGTCACTGTATCGATTTGTTATGCTCTTATTTTATATTTTAGATATTTTTTCATGCGCAGTTGTTGACTGACAATTCACACCTGATATGTTCTTACTTATGTACTTAAGCACACAGTTTCAATACGAATTCCAATTTTTTATTAAATCTTTTTTTTTATTATAGCCATGCACCTTCATATGTGAATGCGTATGTATGTATGTACGTAGAAAAAGGTAAAATATCCATGTAGGCACGTCCTAAGTATTCGTACAAGGAACAGTTAATAAACCATCAACTCTTGCAATAAGCAAAGCACCAGCATCAAACCAAAATTTAGTTAGTTTGAGTGTGTATGCGCATTAGGGTGGTCCTCAAAATATCTCGGTATAAATTTTGTAGAGGCCACCCCTTCATTTGGTTCTAGGTACAAAAATATCGACATTCACGAAAATTAAAAAGTGTTAAACAAAATTTTAGGAGTCTACTAGAGGTTGAAAACAAAAATAACTTTTTAATCGCAAAAATTCAACAAAACTTTCACAAGTAGTCTGATAAATTTAAAATAATAATTTTGTCGAATTTTTGATGTATAAAAAAATTCAAACCTGGTAGCGATGCGTTAATTTTCATTAAAATTTTCGTGGGTGATTTATTCTGTACACAGAAACAAATAAAGTGGTGCCTCATGATATTGCTATTTTAAACATCACCCTAATGCGCATTTGTATGTAGCAATAGCCACTCAACCACCCATAAAAGTAATTGTACTGCAATGAAGTATTGCACAAGTAAATTGGCAAACAACGAGTTAGTTAAATTCTTTCCTTAAGTAAATTCTTTCTCTTTCATTCAAGCACAACGGCTAGTTGCTAGTTAATTTATGCCATTTACTTGGCTAATAGCGATACCTGGCTATTTGCAATTTGATCATGAAGGCAATAACACAAAGCAGCAGAAAAAAAAAATATTTTTCTTCAGCGACATTTATGTATATGTATTGCATGTAAAAATGTAAGTATGCAAGTAAACTTACATTCAAGGTCGCAAATGTTTTTATACATACATATCTACATATGCATTTACCACTGTGTTCGGCAGGCTTTTTGTTGCTCGCTTATGGTTTCTTGTTTACAGATAGTAAATGCTTTGAATATGTCTATTGGCAGTGTTTGTATTCATTAATCATATGGGTAATTATTAGGTTTTTAGTTACACACATTTGCCTAGGTAAGTACACACTTAAATACATATGTATGTATGTATGGAGTTATGCTAAAGCTGGTAAGTACTATTTTGCTATTGATTTTTCTTACTAGATTTATCTATCGAAAAAAAAAGGCAATAATAATAAGACTTCGATATCAAAGAGACTGTACTTGCGCATATAGAGTACACGATTATTGTTCAAGTCGCGAGCTTCATAGATCTTTACTATGGCATATGTGGGTGTTTAACCCAAGTTTTTCATAAAAAAATGTCAGTTTTGTAATCATCAATGGTACAACCTTCAAACATCGATGTTATGAAGTCGATGTTGTAGCTATGTACACAAGTCTTATTGATTTAACTTATCTGATTTTATTCTTATCTGCACTAGTATGAACGGTTTTGAGTGCCAGTGAGCTCTCCAAATCTTACTGTCATGAGGATCTGGAAGAATTGCATACTTACGTATATACGACTGTATGTATTAGACCGAATTTGCTCCCAAGTAATAAACTTCACGAAAAGTAGGCATGTA